GGGCACTTAGTTTTTCTGTGTAAAAGTAATATGTTCTTGTTATATCTGACACCTATTTCTTACATATGTTATTCACCTTCTTTGGAAATTATGACTTTAGGATTCTTCCCCATACTTTCCATTCTAACATGCTCCTTTTCCTGAGTCAACCTTGGAAAGCTTTGTATGAGGGGATTTCAAGTTCATAGAAAAGTGGAGAGAGAGGGAAAGTGAGAAAGCAAGCCACCAGATCGAGGACTCCAACCAAGGTCAGCTATGTAGGAGTTCAGTGACCTTAACCACCACGCCACCTGCTGGCCCCGATGCATAGTGTTTTTAAAAGAAATTTTTGGTATAGGGCACATGCACTCACTGGGAGAGAGACAGGAAGCAAGAAATCACCCCCCTGCGGGGGATGGCCATGCTGCAATTCTTTCTCCTCCTATTTCTTCTCAGGATTTTGGGCACACGCACATGCTCCCGGCATGAGTTTTAAGCCACCAAGCCCAGGACTCAAACCATGGTCTACTACATGGGAGTCCAGTGATGTAGTCATTATACCTTCTGCTGGTCCCAGCATAGTGTTTTATAATACACATATTCTGTGAAGTTTTTTAAGACCCCTGCATATAACATTAACTCTAGAAGTCCTTCCTTGTTAAGATTTTAATGTAATACATGTATCTTACACATGAGTCTGTGTGCTCTTTCCCCTGGTATGAATCCCTTACCTCCTCACATTGCTTATTAGAATCCTTTTATTGTCCCTAGTAGCAGACAGAATCACTGAGTTTTATTGTTTTTACTTTGATATTGAAGAAGACTCTTATATTGATTATTGATTTAACTTTGTTTCTTTTGCTATTTATTGGGTCATCAGAAAAGTCATGACCCATTTTTGCATAGAAAACCAGAAAAATATGACTTTTCTGATGACCCAATAGTATGTTGCATAACTAAGAATCCTGCTTCTCAAGGACCAGAAGATATCATAATGGTTCCATTGCTGAACTCCCACGTAATTGGCCACAGTTCAAGTCACAAACCCCTGGCATCTTAAATGGACCTGGCAGATTAATACTCACACTGGGCCCATGTGCATGTATGCCCAAAATCCCAAGAAAATGGAGAAAGGATTGCAGCGTGGCCATCCCCCTATGGGGGCTGATTTCTCGCTTTCTGTCTCTCTGGCAGGTACACCTGAGCTATAACAAAAAATCTCTCTCAAAAAAAAAAAGGGGGGGGACCAGCAGGTGGCGTGGTGGTTAAGGCACTGGATACTCCCACATAGCCAACCTCGGTTTGAGTTCCAGACCTGGTGGCTTGCTTTCTCACTTTCCCTCTCTCTCGCTTTCTGTGTCTCTCTCTGGCCAAATTAAAATAAATTAATGAATAAATAAAATTAAATTTAAAAAAAAGGAACCAGCAGTTAGCGTAATGGCTATGTCAGTGAACTCCAACGTAGTCGACCGTGGTTTGCGTTCCAGACCCGGTGGCTTAAAACTCAAGCCGGGCGCATGTGCGTATGTGCCCAAGATCCCGAGAGGAGATTGGAGGAGAAGGGACTGTGGCGTGACCATCCCCCCCAGGGGTGATTTCTCGCTTTCTGTCTCTCTCTCTGTCTGTCTGGCGAGTGCACGTGCCCTATGGCAAAAACATCTTAAAAAGAAAACAGTTTTATTTTATAAAAATGTTGGTGAGATTGAACCCTAACCTGTGTTTAAATCCCTGCTCAACTATGTATAAGACTGTATAGCAAGTATTTATTTTTCTCTGAGTTTAAGGTTTCTCATCTGAAACGTAAGGATGATAAGACCTATTGGACAGATTGTTTTTAAGATTCAGCATCTTGCAGTTGACTTAGTATGGCTCTTGGCATGTGGTAAATGCTTAAGTTAGTAGTAGTAGTAGTACTTATAATCAAATTATTTTATTAAATACATACCTTGGAGCTGCCCATGACCTGGTGGTCAAGGGAGCCAGATTCCCACATGACCAACCTGATGGTTTTGAACCTTGGCCCTGGCAGCTTGAAAAACATACTTGACACACGTGTGCATTCCCCAAATCCTGACTCAGAAATGGAAGAGGAGGGTTGTGATGTGACCGTGCCTCACTTCATGGTTCTTTTTCCCTCTCTCAGTCTCTCTGGTGAGCGTACATGCCCTCTGGTGAAAAATATGCATATACACCTATTTCGTCCTAGGTACTGTCCTTGGGGCTAAAGATGATGCAGTGAATAAAGTCTTCACTTTCCTGGAGCTTATATGTTAGATAAAATACATGAGGTGTTCAGGAAGTACAAAGTAGAGTTGGGAATTAGAGGGTCACCTGATTTTTTTTAATGTACTTTTTTGGTAATTATTTTACTTAACTTTACTTATTTATTTATTTTAATTTGACTAGAAAGGGACAGAAAAGAGAAAGAAAATGAGAAAGTGAGAAAGCAAGCCTCCAAGTCTGGGACTTGAAATGTGGTCTGCCTTGTGGGAGTCGAGCACCCTTAACCACCATGCTATCTTTGCCCCTTTTTATGTACTTTTAAAAGACCCCTCCTGAAACTCCTTAAAACAATCCTGTCTCACATCCGAAACCTTTGTTCAACTAGCAATTTCTATTTTTGACTAAATGTGCTTTTTTCTTCCATTTTCATCTTTGAATATTGAAAACAGAAGCAGTCAGAAGATGTTTGTTGAACAGCTCCCATGTTCTGTGTTGTGGGAGAATACCAAAGTTTTTATCCTCTAAAGAATTTCTAATCACGGGACCACCAGTTAGCGTAATGGCTGTCGCTGAACTCCCATGCAGTCAACCGTGGTTCGAGTCCCGGAACCAGTGGCTTAAACTCAGGCTGGGTGCGTGTGCGTGCATGCCCAAGATCCCGAGAGGAGAATGGAGGAGAAGTGATTGCGGCGTGGCCATCCCCCCCCACCCACCAGGGAGTGATTTCTCGCTTTCTGTCTCTCTGTCTCTCTGGCAAGTGCACGTGCCCTATAGCAAAAAAACTCTCAAAAAAGAGAATTTCCAATCACCATAGGAAAATATCATGCCTTCTTACATGTGAAAAAAACACCAGTATGATTGTAAGCCAGTACTTTGCAGAACATGAAGTGTTTTTGTAATTTTATATATTATGGTCACATAAGATAAAGGTGCTGAATGTATCGTCTATGTTAAAATGTATTTAAAACCTCAGGCCAGCAGGTGGTGTGGTGATTAGGATACTGGATCCTTGGGCCTGGGAGAGGGCTGGTTTCTCGCTTTCCTCTGTCTGTCTTTATCCAGAAAGTGTACATACCCTATGGCAAAAACTAAAAAAAAATTAAAAATCTGTTTGGTGTTAGGTCACTGGAAAGGTCGTGACATGCTTTTCTATGTTTTTCTATGCAAAAATGCATCATGACTTTCTCAGCAACCAGATACATTAATTACCAACTGAATCCATTCAAACGCTTAATTTTCTTTTAACTCCAAATATTTTCAAAGATTTCTCATAGACCAGAACTTTCTAAAAAGATACTATATTTTAGTTAAAACTTTTAACTAAACAGTCTTTCTAGCTTTGTTTTGTCACTGACTTTGATATCATAAATAGGTCCCTTTTTGGGGGAGAGGTTTTTGCTATAGGACATGTGCACTTAGACAGAAATCACCCCCCAGGGGGTATGGCCACACCGCAGTCCCTTCTCCTCCATTCTCCTCTCAGGATCTAGGGCATGCATGCACACATGCCCGGCATGAGTTTAAGCCACTGGGTCCAGGACTCAAACTGTGGTCAACTACAGGGGAGTTCAGCGACATAGCCATTATGCCAACTGCTAGTCCCAGTAGGTCCTTAAAATATAGCCTGTCTGGTAGTAAGTGGGTAGTGTGGTGGTTAAGGCGTTGGAGTCCCACATGGTTGACCATGATTTGAGTCCTGGAACTGGCAGCTTGCCTTCTCACTCCCCCTACCCCTGTCTCTTTCTGGCTAGTACATACCTATAGCAAATTAAAAAGTAATAGTAATAAAATTTAATTTAATATAATCCTTTAAAAATGGCCCATCTGAAAGCAGGTAGAATGATGAAATGAAAGATTAATGTCCAGTTTTATTTTCAGATCTGCAAATGTCATTAACTGCCCCCCCACCCCACCCCACCTCCCGCCAATTTCAAGGTTTACCCCCCCCCCCCTCCCGCCAATTTCAAGGTTTATAGAACCAGAATTATCTTATCTCAGAAGTTCTGGGTCATTCCTCAAGGTACAACCTTTAGAATTTTATACTCAAATACTATTCTGCTTCTTTCATTATTTGGATACTTTTTTCAGGTTCTGATTCATAGGAATCAAATACACCTTTTCATTGAGTGTTTTCTTATGTATCATCAGTGTCAGTGAACTGAATTAGTCACATATTTTGATAAAACAATAAAGGTGGGAAGACCAAGGACCTATTCTACTTTATACTGGGTTACTGAAAATGATTAATTCTTAGTGTTGTAGTTAATTTTGTGGGACCAGCAGATGGTGTAATGGTTGCATCACTGGACTCCCATGTAGTCGACTGCAGTTTGAATCCCAGACTTGGAGGCTTAAAACTCACACTGGGCATGTGTCCAAAATTTTGAGAGGAGAATGGAAGAAAAGGGATTGAGGCATGGCCATCCCCCCACCCCGGGAAGGGGGATGTTTCTGTCTCCTGTCTCTCTCTGTTTCTCCAGCAAGCACATATGCTCTATAGCAGACATCCCTCTTAAAAAAAAAAAAAAAAAAAAAAAAAAAGAGTTTTTGTTAATTTTTTTTTTCAAAACTGTACTTTACAGATAGACACACTGTCTTAGAAATTAAGTGATGTTTTCCAGATAACTTGAGTGTTCTCCAAACTTTGGATTTGGCATAAGGAACTCATGTAAGGATTTTATTCAGTAGTTAATAAATTTTAGTGCTTAATTTGATGTGTTATACCAAAAAATATAGTTAGGTAGATATAGATATATCTAGATATAGATCTCATCGTGTCCATAATATTTTATTCCTAGGCAATGAAAACTACAAACAAATTGCAATGTGTGTTCTTTATCACATAAGCATGGATGACCGCTTTAAATCAATGTTTGCATACACTGACTGTATACCACAGGTAAGTGCTTTAAGTGTTTTAAGAAGGACATTTAAGAAGCAATTTTTTTTTCACTCTCTCAACTTATCAGGTCTCTTTTTCCTTTAAATTCTTCCTCTCATTAATAATAAATTCAGAAAATATAGAACTATATAAAAATGAAAATAACTCTGTTATCTCAAAGTCAGAGATAACTGTTTAACAGTTGGTACACTTTCTTCTACATACTTGAAAAATAATTTATTGTGATTATATAGTATACAGAGGTTTTTACATAGTCCTTTATTTAAATAATATTCTTCAAGATTTATTTCTAATTTCATAATATTCTATTGCGTGCATATACCCTAATTTAAATATTGTTAAATTGTATGTTTGGATCTTTGTTCAGTTTATCCACGTGAAAACATATGTACACAAACATACAGAAGCAAGTAAAAATCATGTAGACTAAACATCATAGTCATAGATGCATCCACATCTCTGAATTGCCTTTAGTTTTAATTCGTGGGATATTAGTTCATCAGAAAAGTCATAGTGTATTTTCTATGTTTTTCTATGCAAAATAGAACAATAAGTCAAGAGTTAAGAACACCTGTATCTTTGGCACATTTTAGCCAGATTAGAAAGTATAAGTTTATATTTTCTTTTTTTTTGGAGAGGTTTTTGCTATAGGGTGCATGTGCTCACCAGAAGGACAGAGAAAGACAGAGAGACAAGAAAGCGAGAAATCACCCTCCGGGGGGATGGCCACACCGCAGTCCCTTACACCTCCATTCTCCTCTCGGGATCTTGGGCACACACGCACACATGCCCAGCGTGTTTAAACCACCGGGTCCAGGACTTGAACCGCGGTTGACTTCATGGGAGTCCAGCAACATAGCCATTACGGTAACTGCTAGTCTCATAAGTTTATATTTTCAACTAGCATTTTACTTTTAGCAACACTAGATACATAATTATTTCTCTAAGAATGTGGTGTTTCACTATTTCTATTGGCATTTCCGTGAATATTGGTGAGGTTTAATATTCTTTGATATGTTTATTATCCATATTCTCTTATAAATCATCCACTCATGTTCCTTGCCAACTTTTCTATTGCCATGTTAATGTCTTTTATAAAAGATATTGGGACCAGAAGTTAGCCTAATGGCTATGTCACTGGACTCTCATGTAGTCAACCACGGTTCGAGTCCTGGACCCAGTGGCTTAAACTCAGGCTGGGTGCATGTGCATGTGTTCTCAAGATCCCAAGAGGAGAATGGAAGAGAAGGGATTACAGCATGCCCATCCCCCCTTGGGGGTGATTTCTCATTTTCTGTCTCTCTGTCTCTCTGTCCTGGTGAGTGCACGCACCCTATAGCAAAAACCTCTCCAAAAAAAAGAAATTAACATTATTATTATTGATAAATAAGATTTATGTCTATAATTAACTATTTTAACTCTTTTTAAAATTTTATTTATTCATTCATTTTATTTTAATTTGACAGAGAGAGAGAGAGAGAAAGCAAGCCACCAGGCCCAGGACTTGAACCATGATCAGCCATGTGGGAGTGTCCAGCACCTTAACCACCACACCACCTGCTGCTCCCTAACTATTTTAACTCTGTCTTATTGCAAATATTTCTCAAGTTTGGTACTTGCCTGTTAATTCTGTTGATGGTTAATATTTTAAATGCTTTGCATTATTTGATGGGAAAATGCTTTATTAAAATTCTTTTGATTTTTATAGCACTATTCTCAAGAAAGATTTTTGCTATGACTGTTACTTGATATATTTCATATGTTAGGTCTATTTGTCTTGAAGGAGCTTACTAATTTTTTTTAACATGGACTTTGTAAGAGGGTAAAGAGTCTATACATGCATGATTTTACTTTTAAGGAATTTACATTCATAGAGTCACTCTTGGGCCATTAATCTTCATTAATCTCCACAATTTGAACAACGGGTGAGAGAAATGGAGTAGACTGATTTTTTAATGTTGCATTACTGTTTACAAAATACTAAAGTAGAAAAGGCAAAATTGTAGGGTACAAAATATACAGTAAAAAAATTACACTTTTAAAATCTCTTTTGAAAAGTACAACTAAGGAACCAGCAGTAAATGTAATGGCTGTGTCACTGGACTCCCATGTAGTAGACCACAGTTTGATTCCCGGACCCGGTGGCTTTAACTCATGCCATGCATTTGTGAGTGCCCGCCCAAGATCCTGAGAGGAGAATGGAGGAGAAGGGATTGGAGCGTGGCCATCTCTCTGGGGGGTGATTTCTCGCTTTCTGTCTCTCTGTTTCTCTCAGTCTCTTTGGCGAGTGCACGTGCCCTATAGCAAAAACCTCTCCAAAAAAAAAAGTTAAAAAAAAGAAAAGTACAAATAAGTTATATTTATTAAATTCCTCCTAAGACTTATACTAGACAATTTCTTGTTAGCCTAATATAAGTTCTTAAGTGTTTATTACTTGAGGGCCAACTTGGCATGGTTCACCAGCTAAGACTACTTTATCCCACATTGGCTAACTCCATGATTCGAGTCTTGGACCTGACAGCATGAAAAACCCATTGGATGCGTATGCATGCATGCCCAAGATCTGAAAAGGAAAATGGGGGAGAAGGGATTGTGGTTTGGCCATTTCCCTTAGTGGTTGTTTTCTCACTCCTCCCACTCCCCAGTGCTCTCTCCAGTGAGCACATATGCTATATAGGGAATTTTTAAAACAATATATATTTCCTTGAAAAATAATTGATATACAGTAAAAATAGGCCATAATTTCTCTTTGTATTAATTCTAATCTAATATTTTCTATTTATTCCAAATTAGTGGGCCAGTATAAAATTGCATTTTTTTAAAAAACTCTTAAATATTCTTTTTCCCTTTATTCATGATAGAACATGTGTATACATATGTAACAGAGAGATAAGAGGGTAAAAGCATTCCCCAACAGGGCCTGGCCATCCTTCAATTCTTCTTTTTTATTTTTTATTTTTTTGTTTTGGAGAGGTTTTTGTTATAGGGCACATGTGCTTGCCAGAAAGACAGAGAGAGACAGGCAGAAATCGAGAAATCAGCCCCCAGGGGAGATGGCCACGCCACAATCCCTTCTGCTCCATTCTCCTCTTGGGATCTTGAGCATGCATGCACATGTACCCAGCGTGAGTTTAAGCCACCGGTTCCGGGACTTGAACCACGGTTGACTACATGATAGTCCAGCGACATAGCCATTACACCAACTGCTGGTCCCCTCAATTCTTCTTCCTCTAATTCTTCATCCCATCAGGATCCTGGAGACATGCGTGCACACCCTGCATATTGTTGCTGGGGCCAGTTTCTGAACCCTTGGCCTTATGGGTTCCAGCTTCCTTTGCACAGTGCTCAACCTCTATGCCATAGCTGTGATCATAAAATTGAATTTCATGGGACCAGTAGATGGCGAAATTGTTACATTGCTGGACTCCCACATATTCTACTGTGGTTCAAGTACCAGACTCGGCAGCTTAAAATTCATGCCAGGCATGTGTGCATATATGCCCCAAATCCTGAGAGCAGACTGGAGGAGAATTGATTGCAGCATAGCCATCCCCCTGGGAGGTGATTTCTCGCTTTCTCTCTGTCTCTCCAGCAAGCACACACACCCTATAGCAAAAATTTCTCTATATAAAAAAATTGAATTTCATTAGAACAGAATTTTAGTCTATTCTGGAATTTTAACACTTTGTCTACATTCTAGTAAAAATATAAACTCTCAAGAATTATTTCCTAATCTTTTATATTATGGGATAAACTAATTATACTTACCTATAGGAAATAGATACTCCTCTAAGACTATACAGCACATCTTCTCTATTAAGACAGGGCTTCTTTTTTACAAAATTACTGATTTAATTTTATTTATTATTATTATTATTTTATTTGACCAGAGAGAGAAAGTGAGAAAGTAAGCCTCCTGGTCTAGGACTCAAACCAAGGCTGGCCATGTGGGAGTTCAATGCCTTAACCACCAAGCAGTCTGCCAGCCCAAAGACAGGACTTCTTATAGAGTCAGAAATGCTAGGCTGTGGCCAGTGTGGAACATAGTCACACTCTTTGTCAAACAAGTTTTCAATAAAAGTGTAGCTTTGTCAAGGGGAGATTACAGGTGGTTTACTACAGTTTCTCTCCACATGTTCCAAAGTTTTTTGCTTTATAGTTTCAAAGGGTGTTCCTTCTCCAGTCCCATTTAGTGTCAGAACTTCATTGACCACAGGATATGAATTGGAAAACAGCCAAAAGGGATAATATTCTCACTGAGATTATTTTTATCCAGATTTAGATCTTAAAGAGGATCACATTAAATAAAAGAAGTATAAGGAGGTCTTCAAAAAGTTCATGGAAAATATGTATTATGAAAAAATTATGTATATATTTCCTTTTTTTTTTTTGCACCAAAATCAGCTCATACTTTAATTCCATTTTTCTACAGACTTTTTTTGAAGTGCCCTAAATGCAAATCAAGAAGGGGCAGAAAATTCAACTTGTGTTGAGTTTTGAATTTGGAGTCATCCTATTCCTTTAGAATATATACTTTCAACATAAAATGTCATTTTAAATGAAGGACTCAGAAGTAAGCCTGCTACTTTTGAGACATTGTTATTATTGTAGTTTAAAACTTTGTAGAAAGTTCTCATACCTTGTCAAGAACAATATTCATATATGCTTTCTTGCCAGTTTTCTAACATCAAAAATGTCTGCAATGGAGTTTCAGAACATTTATGATCAGTATATTGTGAACAAAATTTTCCAGAACTCATTCAGTGGTCAAGGTTTTGGGTTTTTTATTTTTTTTTCTCCTTTTTGAAATGTTAACTCCTATGGAAATAGGGAGGTTTTGTTACAAATTATATTGTAAATACACTGAAATTTTTGATATATGGCTGTATTTTGAGAAAGCCAAATGATAATCTAGAATAAGTGCCATCCAGCCTAAAACTTGTACTTCACAGTGCCTAATTTTGATGTATTTAGAAAAAAAAGTTGACATGGTTTTA